TACAGAATGTATTAGATTTGAGGTTATAATTATTATACTTAATACGATTACGATTATACTTAATCGTAAAAGATGTATACTTTATATATTCTGAATAGATTTATTGTTTACCTCTATGTAAGCACTTAAATATTCTAAATGAACATAAAATGCAATTATTAATAAAAATAATAAATGCTTATATTCATATTGATTTATGATTGTTGGCAGTTGGCACCTTTGAAACCTACCTGTTGTAATAATAGATTTCTTTTCAAATGAAATGTTCAAAGTCTTTTCATTTACCTGTTTCTATATTTTACTATCGGTAATTAGGTATGTAACTGGTTATCATTATGATTTTCATAAAATTAAACAGATATTATATGGCATAGGAGTATAAACTATCTTTAAGTAGTAGTAGTTAGTATCTCATAAATCCAGAAATAATCTTTTTATAAATATAATATAGATACTAGTATTATTAACTAAGGTACCTAGTTCTATTCTTATGTTGACAAATACCTATAGTCGCCTATATTGCATTTATTAAGGTAAATAATCTTGGCACAACTTTTTAACAAAATCACCCATTTAAAAATAAAACAATAACGAAGCCAATCTTTATATATATAATTCTTCTGTGAGTGTGTATGTCACTGAACTTCTCTTAAACGACTGGACCGATTTTGATGAAATTTTTTGTGTGTGTTCAAGGGGATCTGAGAATGGTTTAGATTCACAATTTTGTCCGCTGGACAACCCCTATTTTTTTAGGGCGGTACGAAGTTCGCTGGGTCAGCTAGTAAACTATAAAAATAAATCGTTATTATAGACCGATACCTGTGGATTCAGTAATCCACTTATCAGTTGATTTTTAATGCTGTATTTTCAATAAAAAGGAGTGCCAAGATTGTTTACCAAATAGGACAAGTTAGGATGAACAGACTGTAGTATCTAGAAACAGAACTTTTATTTTTTATTTTTTTAAACAGGTTGTCCGTTTACTATGGTTATTTTTTTTTCCATCCCTTGTTACTTGTCTAGGCAATAATAGGAACCTACTGTTTAAAGTAATCATTCTAGGTCCAGCCGATTCGGCTGTGCGTTGATGAGTCAGTTAGTCAGTCTGTCAGTGTATCCTTTTCTCTTTTTATATAATAGTAAAGATGGAGAGCATTTTAAACAAATAATTACTATTTGAGGAATGTTTTTAAAATAAAGAATATTTATCACTATTCCTTAAGGTAGGTAGGTACCTACTTAGAATTTTATTTATCTAGTTGACCCGGCAAAACTTCGTACCACCATAAAATTAGGAGTTGGCAGTAGAACAGCGAAAATGTTCAGTTATTTGTATTTTTTTATGCCAAATATTAAAAAAATATATTTGGAAAATAAAAAGAAAATCTGAAGAGGGCCACCCTTACACCACGGGGTTAAAAAAATAGTCTACCACCTATTCCCAGACCTACCAAATATACACAAAAAAAAACCCATTAAAATCGGTAAGTTCGATAACAAATTAATATCCCCACTGTTGGGGCAGAGGCCTTCCCTATGGATGGAATAGGGAAATTGGGCCATGACCCACCACGCGGGCCCAGTGCGGATTGGTGGGTGCTAACGACTGCAGATGCAGCCGGGACCAACGGCTTAACGTGCCTTCCGAAGCACGGAGGAGCTCGAGATAGTAAATTTTTGGTCACCCATCCAATAACCGACCACTGCGAAAGTTGCTTAACTTCAACGATCGCAGCCGACGCGCTAACCCCTTGCGCCATCGAGCCCCTCACATAAAATATTAATGTTTTACAAAAATTTGTATTTTTTTTTATAAACAGATAACATGGTATTTTTAAAGGTTATCTGAGAAAACCTTAGCATAACAATTCCATATTGGGTGCTTGTAAATATTCATGCCATTTAAGAGAATCTTGATTTCATACAAATTTATCAAGACGACAATAGAACCTATAATATAGCCTTTATGTAATGAAAAGACGCGGTTCAATATACGATGTTGTTTTCGTGAACTGACAGGCGTGAAATTAACTTTCAGGGGTAAATCTTTGCGGAGATCTGAAGGAAAAATGTAGAGGAAATCATTATATAAGTGTAATCTCCAGAACGGTCGTTGCAAAGCCAACGGAAATTGGGACTTACATTTATCTGACACCTAAAATTTGACCTAAAACACTTTAGTGTGTTTTATCCCCAACATACAAACTTATTTCGCAACTCAAAAAACTGGCTAAGTGCGTGTAATGCCACGCGCAGTGTAGGGTTCCGTAGTTGCCTGTAGTTAACACAATATATTTGAGTAGTAATCTTTATTTTCCATATCGGTAATTTGAAAAACCAATTAATATCAATCTATGTATCTCAATTAAAATACCTAAATCAAAGTCTAACTACCTCTACTATTCGATATTTTTTTTTTAAATACGAATGCTAACCGCCGATTTTTTTTGATTCCTCCCATGTGGGGGAGCGCTTGTGAAATCCAAAACAGCCGGCTGCAAAGTCAGGTCAGACTCTTACTGACTAAAAGCTTTATCTGAAGTGATCATCCCTTGAAAAGGGGATGGATGATGCGGTATAACCGCCGATCTTTTCAAGTGCTTTTATTTTTTTTATCAAAGCTAAGTTAGCGCGACTCAGAAGCCGTTACCGTCGGTACTCGCGGTAGTGTTGTGGAACTAATGATATTTTGTTGTGGTTTTTAAATAGTTTTTTGTTATATTGCAATGCAAGGTTCCACGCTATAATTACTTCATCTATGTCACTATTAATGTTTTCTTCTAAGGAATTTTCAATAGGTAAGAAATTTTCTTAAACCAAAGTTAAACAAATTATTTTTTAACTAACAGAACCATCTTAACCGTTATAGTTATCCTTAAAAGTTCATGAAAAGCACTATTATGACGACCTCCGCGACCGAGTGGTTTGTACGCCGGGTTTCATGGTGTCGCCGACTCGCGAGGTCCCGGGTTCGAATCCCGGTGGGGGCAGATATTTGTATGATGAATACGAGCATTTGTACTCCAGTCATGGATGTTTAATATGTATTTCTATATAAATATAGTTATATATGTACTGTATATGTATTCTATCCGTTACCTTAACATCCCATAATACAAGCCTTACAGTGTTTACTTTGGGCTTATTGGTTTGGAATTTTTCCAGGTCTTTCAAGCCAATAGCTTTTAAAGGCTTCTTCCTACGCCCCAGGGACGCCCTACTCGAACAAAAAGTAGCACTTTAAAGTTAAGAATTTCGCAAACGGATTCCTAAATCGAAAAATATTCTTAGCAACCCCTAAGTACTTTTAAAGGACCTATTCAATGATATCCCACACGATGGGGTAGAAAAATCATCCCCAGGTTACATGTCGGGGAGTTACCCTAAAAAAGTATATTTTTGAAATTTTAGAATATATTTGTCGGCGTGATCGATATACATATCTCCACAAAATTACAGATCTCTAGTGCTAATAGTCTTCAAACAAAACCGGGGACGGACAGACGAACATGACAAAACTATAAGAGTACCTTGTCAGGACTACGGAACCCTAAAAAAGATCTTAAAAGATAAAGCCTTTGATGACTAAAGTGTTTAGGACTACTAAACGGCTTATAAAGTATGTTTTCACCTAAGAAACATGTCGAGAAATTTCTACTTATCTGTTGCATTTGACTGAATAAATTCTGCACTCCTGATGTTTGGATTTTGCTAAAATCTTGATATGAATACAGCTGGTGCGAGCATATTCTATAGACATACTGCTAAAGAGTTTTAAATGCATTCATAATGCATTTAAAACTTTTTAGCAGTCCGGTAAAAAAATAGGTTCTCTTAGTTACAAAAACCTGTTGGCCCAATAATGAATTGATCATTATTCCTTTTTTTTTTATGTAATGTATTTTGTGATACATAATAAATTGCTTATGCCATAAAATCCGAAAAAGAGCCTATCAGTAAGCTATTTAAAATGTTCGTGTCTTTAATTTCAATCATAAAGCATTAGGTTTTAATAGCAGTCTAAAAATATTTTTAACGTGAGTTGGGCAATTACGGACTTGTTTTTTTAGTTGGATTAGGTATTATTGTCGTAGTAATTAAAATTCCATAGTAATGACAGATTTAAAGAGGTCGCCGTCGCGTCGTAGACTTTATTTGATAATCAAACACTGACTAGACACGATTCTTAGGTGTATGGAGGGATTCTCAAACCATAGGTTACTAAGAACATTTATGTAAATATGTGATGTGTATTTCCATAAATATTTTTATGCTAGTAGATGTAGCTTTCTGGTATTATGTCCACTGTGACAAACAATGTACATCGCCACCAGCAGTGCTACCGGAACAATCCGACCTGTAAACTTCAAAAAAGGGGATAATTCTTCTTTAAAGGCCGGCATTGGCATTGCATTTGTGATACTCCTGATGTTGCAGATGTCTATGGGCTATGGTGTTCACTTACCATCGGGTGAACCGTCGGCTCGTATTTGGCCTATAAAATAGAAAAAAATAAAAGCAGACAAAATAGGCAAACTTTCAATTTTTAATATTAACTTTTATTTTCTATCTACATTGTACCTTTAAGTAAGAAAATAAATATGTAAGTAAATCTTTTTTGACCAAAACATACATTTATCTTCTTACATTTTATGAGAAATACAATAAGTAAATTTTTAGAATAATATAGGATATAAATTAGTCGAACAATCATCTTTAACATCAATTTATTCAATTAATAAAAACATCATACATAACAAAGGAATCCACAAAAAACATGAAGTCTTGCCGATTTTAATGTGAATACAAATTTTGCAACGAGTTAAAGCTGAGTAGCATTCGAGATTCTAAAAAAAAACTTAACAACTGACACGATCATCTTTAAACAAGGAGATTCGACTCGAAACTAGCTGCTTGCGCGAATGAAATTCAATACTATTGCGTAATGCGTTTGGCTTAAGTTTGGTTGAGTTGTAAAAATATCATTGCTTTGATGCCTCTCCCAGACTTGCGCGACGCAGCTTTGACTACTTATTGCGCTAAAATTAGCGTCCAAATTTTCACCTGCACACAGACATTTATCGTCCTCCAAAATCTCTTTGTTGTGTGTCGAAAAACTGCCAGTCAGCTATCGTCTTGCATTTAACGTCACGTCGCTCGATAGTTCGTCACGACAGCCCTAAATGACACCTGCGTTTATTGCGACCATATCCGAAGCTTCATGGGTTCATGATAGACACGAGACGGAGAGACTTAAGGTGTTAATATGCGTGTCATACATATATTTCGACTTCGAAGTTCAAGGGGTGATGCCGCTGGCTCTTCATCCGGACTGTGACGTGAGAGTGTCCGACTCCACCGTCCGTGATGTTTGCGCTTGCGTGGGAGAAGTCGTTGTCTATCGCCGCTACACCCTGTAACAAATTTATGAAATTATATGTTTTTCCTGCTAACATAGAAATAGTAGTAACGACCGTTATTTTACAAGCATGAACACAGCGACATGATAGGATAAAATCAAACTCCTGTCCTCCTTAGACAGTGAATGTGACGGTTTATCTTAACGGGTTTACTTTATTTAGTTTTTTTTGTTTCAACTATCAGTGGGCACAATAATTTTCGTAACCACACACCTATGACGCGCATTTCTTAGATCGATTAATTTATTTGTAGTTTATGTTAACACATTATCGGTACTATTGGTTACCTCAGGTCAAGGGAATTAATGGTAACCAAAAAAATATTGTAATGCGTACGCGTGTGACATTTTTTAAACTATCGTTATCTTACGAATTTTAAATCAGTACAACACACACAAAATTAAAAATGTAAAGTTGGCCCAAGATAAAAAGAGTTGTGGTGAAAATTAAATCAATGAATAGATCAAGTGAACTATTTTGTATAAAGGAAATTTAAGTTTGAAATTTGAGGAAATCAGACACGTTCGTTAAGGTATCGGTAGTATAGTAGTTATATAGTGCATAGCAGATAGAAAAGGAAGCTGGTTCGATTTCAGCCCGATGTTTGTGCCAAGAAATTGTTTCGTATTCAAAATGTTTTAAGCTATGTATTCGGTAAACAGCGAACGAGTGAATTTTATACTATAACTGTTGTTGCTTCTAAATTGTAAGTTAATAACCGTAAAGCTAATGTCTAATTTCCGAAACTCATTATCAAATTAAAGTTAGTAAATGTCAATTGAAGTCACTTCCTTATGTCATTAAGCGCTGCCAAGACTAAAAACAAAGAAACGAATATTTGCACATTGGAATGTTAAGTGTTGCTATGGTGGTATGCTACATTTATTGTTTATATGTAATATTTTTATTTAAAGCATTAAATGCTTGATTAATAAACCAAATTACAATTTCCAAAAAAAACTTCAGTTCCATGGTTACTCATAGTACTTACTTGCCCCACGATCAGAAGGTCTGAGTAGCATAATAGCCAACAGCGCGAAACTTCTAATAATCAGTTTACTATGTCTGATAAAAATTCTAATAATTGCCTAAACTAACTCCGACCACAAACACTTTATTTAAAGAGTGGCACGGAAATAATATATTACGGAAATAAAATGATACTTGGAGGATGTAGCTAAATTACCTATTTTTAAATGTAAACTAATTAAATTCATCAAAACTCAACATTAACTACGTCATTTACAAAGTTTATCACCATATTGTATTAAGTAAACTATGCGTTAAGTATAAATTTAAACGTTATTACGTTAAAGTTAAGGGTATTTTTTCATCACACAATCATTCTTAAGTTGTAGTTTTAACCGTATTCTCTCAAATGCCTCCCGTTTACGCAAGACGATATTGACAAAGTTACTCATACTTATACTCAGTTTTCTGTTTGTTCAACTGCTTTCTTATAATGGTTTATCTTGGATAAAACTTTATATTTCAATGTGATATCAATACAGTTAAAATAAGTTAAGTTTCATATTCTTGTGTAATTCATAAATTCTTATCAAATACGTCAAATTGCTCGACACTTATATTAAATTAATAGCAAAAGGAACTAATAAAGCAGTTCGTTTTGTAATTTATTATTTATTTAATTATTAGTAAATCGAAATATCATACAGAGTGTTTTCATAGCTTTATGAGAATTGACAATAATCAGTGTAAGTGCAAGCTGTACTGTACAGTTTACTTTTCTTTGCAGTAGAAATAAAATACAACTTTACTGTGATAAGCAAATAAGTTTAAATCTAAACAAAATATAACTAGAAAAAAATCTACGCGGACCAGGCAGCAGACGGAACTCGAACCCTCACCCTTCGCTATCCAGACAAATATACTGACCTAAGCTACCGCGGCCCTGATGGCCGTGTCGAATTCTTTCTAGCCTTTCTTAAGCTGCAAGGCAGCGCAATCTCTTCGCATTATAGGTAACCCACAATGTCATATGAATATCTTTACAAGTATTAAACATTCGAAAGAAGAAATAGTAATTATAGTTATATTTATATGATAGCGAGGGGTGCGGGTACGAGTTCCGTCAGCTGCCTGGTGCGCGTGGATTTTTTTCTAGTTATATTTTCTTCAGATTTTAACATCGAGCAGTTAAAAAAAAACTAATTAACTTTAAGTTACAGCTATATTTTTATCTGTACAAATAAGTTCAAGTTAAGTAAACCGGTATTTAAAGTCACGGTATACAGAGGTTGTTAATATGGATTCTTATCCTTGAAAGAGCATCGCTACTACTATACTATTATTTACTTACTGATGACGTAACAAGTACTACGAGATGGGTATGAGAGTTCCTTGCTAATGTACAAACTCAAATACTAGATCGAGCAAAACCGTTATTTATAAAGGTGACCCTCTCAACTTTTATTTTGTCTTTTTGACGGCAATAGTAACACATTCTGTGAAATTCTTGACTGTCTGCCTATTACGTTTCATGAGAGGCGTTTCATCTCTTATAATAATCATTTTGGATTTGTAGCAGCAGCATGTTAATGACATATTCTTAATGTATGATTATCTCATACATTTTAATTTATTAGGAAATTAAATATTTATGTAATGTATTAAGTGTATTTGATTTCCAATCAAAATTTAATCTAGACTCCTAAAGGACTAACAGTTCAGCCGTGCTATTCCGTAAAAACAAAATCACATTTCACCGCGGAATTCGCCGGTGTGATTTGATTTTTTTTGGAATTTATGTTGTAATTTTAAGAATTCTTACGGAATAGCACGGCAGTTGTCGCCGTTTTGGATGCAGAATCTTCTTATCTGTACCATCATAATGCGATATGCTTACAGATACAATTTGATAGTGACATTGGATGTATGCCGTTGCAATAAGAGTGATATTCGCATATGCAACTGCACATATTTTAGGAAGACAACTACTTGCTTGATTTTGTAAATAAGTTATCATTGTTCTGGTATCAATAACTATAATAAAATTAGCATTTATTATTTTCGAGGAACGCTGCGAATGGAACTCGGTTTGTTTAAAAAATTAACAATGACAGTCTAAATTGGTTACCCAAATATTCAGGTAGTTCTCAACATATTGTAGTCATTAAGAAAAGTCTAAATAATATGTGAAATCACGTAAAATATTTCGAAAATAATATATTTTTGATGTTATCTGATTCAGCAATTTATTTTGTTAAATAAATGAAATTCTCACAAACTCACATCCTTTGTATCGACAGTAAAGCAAGCATTTTTGAAAATCGGACACGCAATTCTGTTACTCTACCAACTAACTACTAAATTACCTTAATAATTCTTTTCTCTGGGTCCGTATACGTCAAGGTTTTTATCCGTTTCTTGAAAGGTATGGCAAAGTCTTTAACACGCTGGTGGAACACCATTTTTTTGTGTACCGTGTCACCCACAAACATGTCGTAGCTATAACACGCACAAACAAAATACAAAACGAAAACTAACACAGTCCGCATCGCGATTTCATCACAATTAACATTTTAAAAATATTCTAGAACGGCTTCTTGCGTTACTCGACACAGCGGTGCGCAGGCGACGAATGCGGTAGCGGTAGACCTCACTCGATAACCTCCGATAAGGCATATGACGTTTCCTCGCATTTACAAAACGACTCAAAATTAATTATCGTTCATGTTTTACTTTAACAACAGATTCTGCACTCTTCCTTCTTAATGACATTCTTGTCTGCTCGCTTATGTCTAACTGTGAGCGCGGTTCGTCTTGTTTTCATTTAAACAATAGCGATGGAACGATTGTTTCCAGGCCCTCCATTTATTTTGTTGACGTTGGAAATGTTTCGAATTGTTTGTCATAATAATTTTAGATTACACTATTGACTTTTTGTACCTGCGTACAACGTAAATGGTTAGTTTTTCCATGTGCTTTTGTGAATGAAATGAAGACTAAATATAATTTTTGTTATTTTAAAGCATGTAACTGCTTGATGTTTAAATCTAAAGAAAATATAACTAGAAAAATTCCACGCGGACCAGGCAGCAGACGGGACTCGAACCCGCACCCTTCGCAATCCGGGCGAATGCACTGACCAATTATGCTGTCAGTGCATTCGCCCGGATTGCGAAGGGTGCGGGATTTAATCAATAACTGCTATTTCAACAAAATATTTCTATTAACCTCACCAATTAAAACTTCCATGCATTAAGCGGTGTGTAGGTACAGCCGTCATTATGTCAACAAACAGGTAACTTTAATAAACATTGTTTGATTTTGTTACGTCACTTTATATTACTCCTTAAGTGACAACGTAAAACGAGAAAGGCAGGCTTTATGGCAAAATTGTGTTCAAACACGGAAATTAATACACGCCCGGTTTTGAGTAATGCGCGGGAAAGGGTTAAATGAATGAATTAATTTGGATTAATCGTTCATCTGCCGCACCCTTTCCGACGGGGTAAGTATTATCCAAATAACGTTTTGTTTATTTTACGTTGTTGCTGTAAATAAAGTTAATGTCTGATCTTTTTCGAAAATAATAACGATGTTTTTGCTGGTGTTTCGTTGCTGTGAACGATATTTTTGCAATATCACCACCGATATAACGAAAAGCATACTTATCTGAACGTGGCGTAGATAACACAGAATCTGTAATGCTCTATTTTCTTTTTGAAAACGTCTTCAATTTTGAATTAGATTACAATAGAATAAGAAAACAAGTACAATAGCGTAAGAAACAAAGAATTAGTGTAGCATTTTTAATTGGCTTTTCTGAGCGCTGTTGTCAATGAAGTTAATTTTTCATTTCTCCTTTAATTTAATTTTATATTCCTCCTAAAGAAGGAGAAAATAGCTTATTTCATTTGTATATTGAAATAAGCTATTCGCTTCTATATCGACAAATAAACACACCTAAGTATATAAAATATTTTAACATTATGTCCAGTACCGTGTTATTCCAAACAAAGAAACAGAAACAGCACTTCATTTGTTTCGTAGTACTTTTTTCGCTAAAAGTGTATGGGCGAGGCACTGCTTTGGGGGTCGCACCGTAGATATCTTCGACGTAACACAACGCATCGCTGAACTATTCAAGGCATTGCTGCACCATACATATCTGCGATGGGTCGACACGCAGCCAGTGTCTTGCCCACACTTCGAACGGGCACGTTGAACATCGTGAAAAATTACGACACTTCAAATCTCGCCATATTACTCATTCTGAAGAAGTTAAAATTTTCACTTTATCCGTTTACAACGCCTCAAATTTTCTTTTGAATTGATTTCCATCGTTATTCATAAAAGTTAAAAATCGATGCACCCAAGAACATCTTTTCTGTTTTTCTTGATACATCTCAATGCAAGCAGAAGAAACACGCGTGTCTTTCCAGAACTGAAACCAGGATCGTTGTCTTCTTGTACGATGCCGTTGCGATGAAATTTTCATCGCATCGTATTGCTGTGCGACGTTGTTTTTGCGATGCGACGTCGCAACGCAGTGTTGTGGCCTTACCCTATCCATCCTCCGCCCGCGCCGTGGCAGCGATTTTCTTTTATTGCCGATGTCGGTAATAAATAAGCCGCTAGATCCAGCGCTGTCTATCGCTCAGCGGGAGCGCGGCGTCGCTGAGCCCGGCTTATCCCGAGTCCCGGCCGTTCTGATTCCGCCCGGAAAGAACCTCGATATTTCCTATTCTATGTAGCAATTGCTTGCTATTTTTTGTCTACAAAGTCCTCGTACTACTCTCACGCCCGGTATTCGAAAGGTTAGTAAAATCATTATTCAGCTAACATGACTCATCATTATAATCATTATCAATTTAACATCACTGCTAAACCAATGTGAGTTTCGAAAACGAAGGTTATCGTAAAATTCCAGATAACCGAAATGGCGCTTGCCGTAACAAATTTTAACTCAATTTGACAGCTCTGTCAACTAATATCTCTTATCTATTAGACAAGTCCGTCCGTCTGTCTGTCTGTGGTGCTGTTAAACCGTAAGAGTTAGATAAAGAGAATATTTAAGTTATAAGTTAAGAATAGTCTGATAAGACTACAAACCGGATTTGAGTAACATAGCACTTCCGGTTTTCGAGAAATCACGAATTTCAAACGAAACCACACAAAATCTCCGAAGTTCTCAATTAATTAAATAAATTCAGGTTTTGGTGAACATTTGGTTCACTGGTTTGCTAGTAGTGTATATTTGATCAGGCTGCAGCACTTCAATTGACAGTTAACATTTGGGTTGTTGGCTTAGTACTTATTTTATCGCTGAACAGCCTTTGAGAATCCGGGTATACATGTTTTGTTCTATTATAGTATTGTTAATACTTACTGACGACGACCTGAATGACGACCTCCGTGGCCGAGTGGTTTGTACGCCGGGTTTCATGGTGTCGCCGACTCGAGAGGTCCCGGGTTCGAATCCCGGGTGGGGCAGATGTCTGTATGATGAATACGACGGCATTTGTACTCCAGTAATGGATGTTTAATATGTATTTTCAATATAAATATACTTATATATGACAGTATATGTATTCTATCCGTTACCCTAGTATCCCATAACATAAGCCTAATAGTGCTTACTTTGGGGCTAGGCTAATTGGTGTGTGTTGGTAATATTTATTATTATTACTTCTTTTGTCCTGTTAGCACCGGCTATCTCTTTCATAATTTTGTAGAAATATCTACTTTGAAATAACTGAACTCTGTGTCCTACGTCAATATTACGTCTTTAATAAAAGAAATAGCAGCGATACCTTCTACTTTGCACTTTGGCACTCAAATGCCCAAATTCACTATCTTTTTTTCCATTTTTGATTATGGTCTTGTCTGTAAAAAAAAGGGAAATATGCATGTGATTCAAATAAGGCTCAAATGTAAAATATGTGTATATATATAAACACTATTACTTTTGAATTATTCCTCCATTTTTTTTATAAAATTTCTTATTGAGCAACAAATTAAATTTAGTAACGAGCGAAAACCTTGTAGGAATCCAAGTATCTGAAACGCGACAGAGCGGTTGTGACGTAGATATACTTAAAAAAATCATGCGCCATGTTCACAGGATATATCAAAATCAACGATACCTAATTCTAATGAATAGTGCGCGCACTTAACCTTCTAATCCTTGTTTGATTTGTTGCTAGGTTGCTAGGTTGATAGATTGTGACATCACACCAAGAATTCCAAAATAGCGAGCGACTTAAATGCCTATGCAAAGTGGCTATTTTTAACATTTTTTAGACACATTATATAATTTTTTCAACGTTGAGAATTTTTATACTACTTAATGGGAATGCTAATAATCAAATATTAATATAAAAAATAATCATGCATATTATATTGCGGCTTTGAATGTTGAATAGAAAGTTTATAAACAATGAATATTATTCTAAATCAAATAAAAATTGGGACATAAGCCTTCTCGGAACGTGTCTCTCAGCTATTGTTCTAATTTCGCCATAGCCAGTAAGATATAGGTGGAAAATATGTTTTTAATGCTAATCAAACTATAGAATGCGGTACCTATTGTTTAGGATTACGAATTATTAGGAAAGTCACGTCTGCACTAGTCTTTTGTATCGTTAATTGCATAACCTTTTAATCAAGTAGTTTTTTTTATGTTAATATAAACGCTTGCAAAACTTTAAATATCAATCTTGCCGTTGCCGTCCCTGGCCTAATCCCCTAACCCGTGGAGCCCTGGAACCTTACACACCAGCAGAACCAAACGGTAGTGTTATTTTACTGTGGTCTTTTGTAAGGTGGAAGTTGCATCCCCAGACGGGCGCTTTCAATTCGAGAGGGAAATCTGCTATGCCCTATCTCTCTTGTTTCTTCTATTCGTTTCTATTTTTCTGTTAGTGTATTCTGTTCATGATATTCAATAACTCGTTCTACTGTTGCTCAGAGAATTGTAGTTAAAATCAGAGCACTGCAGTTAAACTTCCCTGAATTTTTTGGTTTATATCAGAAAACCTTCCCTTAAGCTGCAAAAGGTAGTGAAAAGGTACACAAAGGGAAAGTATCCCGTCGAATTCGAAGTATAATCAGACAATCCAGTCTCCACTGCAAACATAGGGGTGAATAAACGCCATTACTGTAGTTACGAACCCTTTCTCGTTTCATTCTTCGCTAAGGCTACATTCATTTCTATGTAATCGGAAACTGGTTTTAACTTCATGTTTATTATGTTTTTTTTTTCAATAATATTGCAATGCAATTTCTTGTGAATTTTTGTTTTTCGTATAACATCGCATCTTTTCTGCAAATTGGTGAGTATGATAATACACCGATGTACCTTAAAATACTCTAATTAACATTAAATATCATTTTATTATAGCTCTTACTGTACCAACATTAGTGGAATCCAATAGGTGATCAGTTGTAGGAACAGCACAAATTATTTAAGTAATACCAAATACTGTCGAAATTTTTGTCATAAATTTTCAAATTATTAAGCAATATATATTGCAACTCTGCTAAAGGGAAAGATGTCATAACCTGTTATCGTAACTGCGCCAACAATCTCTCGAGTTTGTCGCAAGGGTGTCAAAACAA